GGGGGGGGGGGGGGGGGATGCGTGGCGGGCCACGGGAAAGGTCTGTCCGCGTGCTCTAGGTCCTACATTTCCTTCGACATCCTGAGGAGAGTGCTGCGGGACTACTTTGGGTTCGACGTGTTCTACTGCATGAACATCACGGACATCGACGACAAGGTGGGGCTCTCACCAGGCCGTGTTCGGAACGGCGGGGGTGGGAAGGAGGAAGTGACGTCGGTGAGTAGAACACGGTGGGCCTCGGCCCTGTACACATCCAGTTAGCGTCGCGGTTTGTGCAAATGACGTCCGTCTTCAGATGTGAAGATGCTGCGAGAACCTGAACGACCGGGGACCCGGCTGATAAGATGTCAGCCCGAGGTACTTCGTGGCAACGAGACTTTGGGTGGCACGCGATTTTGCGTGCAGCGATGGGGCGGCGGGGGGAGGGCAGCCAATTTCCTGAAGATCAGAAAGGTCACGGGAGGAGGGCGGTGCTCGCCGGCCGCCTGGCGGGGCTCAGAGTCTGCCAGCCTGCAGGGACAAGGGCGCGCTTTGGACGTGACCCCGGCTTCCCTTTCATCTCTCCAGATCATCAAGAGGGCCCGGCAGAACTACTTGTTTGAGCAGTACCGGGGGAAGCAGCCGCGGGCGGCCCAGCTCCTGGAGGATGTTCATGCCGCCCTGAAGGTGGGCCCCCGTCTGTCTGTTCCTTGACTCCTGACCGTCCCTGGCGTGGGGCCTTAGTTGTCCGCACTTAAAGCTAGCGCCATCGGGGCACCGGAGCTCTGGGTCACGTGGTCCCCTGGCCTGTGGGAAAAGTCGCCAGGAAAGACACGCTTGGACGGGGCGTGGAGTAGGGGGCTGTGCCTGCCGCTCACGGGAGAATGTCAGAGTTTGTCACGGTGGCAGTAAAGTATGCTTGCCCGTACGATGTCCCTAACACTCCTGTGTCTCCTGTGCTGAGATCACAGCCGCATCTGATGATTCTGAGTGTGCGACGCGGAAGCTGTCCCAGCCCCTTACGTTGGGGGCACTAGACATTTTCAGAATTATTGGCAGAAATTCTTTCCAATTTAATATTTTGAGTAACAGTATCACAAAGTATGGTGCTAACAGGGTAAGGCTAGGATAAGTCGTTTTATTCTCTTTAAGAGTGGTTAGTATTTTAGTGACCGCAGCAGTGATCAGCGCTTACGTGCATCATCTCTAGAAGAGAAAGTGGGAATGAAATCAGAGCTTAGCGGTCTTAGGCTGACACGGGGCGGCCCCGCCAGGACCTCGCGCCTTTGCGAGGCTCAGTAGTCCCCAGGTGACACCTGAGTGACCCCGAGCACAGGCGTTTTAACATCAGAGAAACAGGCCCGGGGGGCGCGAGGAGCAGGGTGTCGGGCCGGGCCTGTCCACTGCCGGACTTGCGCCTCCTTCGGGGAAGCTAGGACCACGCCCTGGGGACACTTGCAGGGCAGGGGCAGGGACCGTCCTCTCCGGTGAGGCAGCCTCTGACGGCCCTGCCCTCTCCTGTGCTTGCAGCCGTTTTCAGCCAAGTTAAATGAGACCACGGACCCGGACAGAAAGCAAATGCTGGAGCGCACTCAGCGCGCGGTGGAGCTGGCCGCAGAGCCCCTGGAGAGAGCCGTGCGGGGCGGCCTCCCGGCAGAGGAGGCCGCCCGCTGCGCAGAGGTGAGGTCTCCAGCGCGACCCGCACACCCTGCCCCGAGGTGGCTCGCTGCTCCCGGGTTCCAGCCTGTGCCTCTGCGCGCGGCACCTGGGCCCGGCCACCCTGGGGCCGAGCAGGCCTCCCCTCGCCCCACGCCAGCGTCCTCACAGTGAGGGGTGGGGGGGGGGGGGGGGGGGGGGGGGGGGGGCGGGGGCGGCGCATCGGAGCATGTGCGGAGATCGTTCCGGGGGTTTCTGGTGGCCTCCCCCGTGTTTCTCGGCGGCACCTGCAGAAAGCAGAGTGAGGCTGGAGTTGAACTGGGCCGTGGGGCCCTGTGTGGGTTCCCCGCCGGCCCCGGGGCCTCCCGGGCAGGTTCCTCGACCCCCTGGACGGGGTGAGGGCACTGCACTGGGGCCTGGGAGGCTGTCACTGCCGGCGCCTCCAGCCTGGCCCTTCTCCTGCACGCTGGCGCCCCCTGCTGGCTGCCCTCTCCAGCGCTCAGTGGGACGACTGACAAGGCCATCCCTCCCTGGAGTGGGGGGGGGGAGGGCCCAGCTCAGGCTTTACTTTAACTTTCACGTTCTCCCATGGTTCAGATGGCCGGCGTGGCCTCCTGCCGAGCTTAATGAGACAGAGCCTGATGTACACAGACCCGCGGACCAGCGTTTTTGCCGGGCGTCCTTCCGCCTGGGCCCCGCGTCGTAGCTGGCCTTCCTTCGGTGGGCCTCCTGCGTCCGCTGTTTCTCCCTCTCCTGGGATGCCAGTCACGTTTCCTGGTTATGGCAGTATGACTGGGAATTTTTTTCTTGATTATTCCACCGATACCCTTTCCTTTGAAGAGTATGATAACACAGACGTGACGTAAGATGTACCACCTTAACCAGTTACAGGTGCTCAGCTCAGGGGCGCTAAGCACGTTCACGCTGTTGTGCAGCTGTCCCCACCCTCTGCGTCCAGAACTTTCCGTCTTCCCAAACAGAAACCCTGTCCCTGTGAAACACGGGCCCCCTTTTGTCCGTGATGAGTAACGCAGCTGTGAAGAGCGCTGTGCAGATATCCCGCCTAGTTCCTTCGTGTGGACACTTCCGGAGCGGAAGTCTGGACTGTTTGGCAGCTAGATTTCAGGATTCCAAGAATCTGCCACACCGGTTTCCACAGCAGCATCCAGACCGCGGTTTCTGACCGTTCCCACCAACACTTGTGATTTCCGTCCTTCTGACGGTAGCCTTCCTGATGAGTGGGGGCCGTGGCCCACGGGGCACTGGGTCTGCGCTTCTCTGAGCACCGGTGAGGCTGACCAGCTGACCATGAGCTGGGAGTCCTTTTCTGTCTGTGGACGCACATTTGCAAGAGTTTCTTTAGGCTGTACGTCTGGGGTGGAGGTGCCGGGCTGTCGGCCGTGTGTCTGCCTAACCGTCGGGTCCCCAACACCGGCCACGCGTCCGGTGATTCTCCGGAAGGACGCGCGGGACTCGGCGTAGACTTGTCCTCACATCGAAGGGGTCTCACGGGTCTCACGGGGTTGTGGCTGGAGGTGAGGCTCGGGCCGAGTCTGGAGGAATCCACGCACGGGCCTCCCCGGTTCCTGCAGACGCGCGGCTCGCCCTCCCGCAACAGAAAACGCGTGGCCGCCCGCGGGAGATGTTCATGTGCAGAGAGCCCATCGGACCCTCCATGTCCGAGGCTTCACGGGTGCTGTCCCATCCACCCAGCACCCAGCACGGCTTCCCCCGACCACGGCTCCCACCCACCAAGTCTCCGACTCCAGAAACGAGCAGGTTTATGTTTTGCGTCAGCCACACTGTTCGCTCGATGACACAGAGTGGTCCCGGTGTCCCCGCCTCTCCGTGCAGGGACGTTTTCTTGCAGACTCAGCCGGGGCCGCCCTGCCCGCGGGCCTCTCCAGGGGGGCTGGCAGCTGGGGCCTGCCGTGCAGTAACGCTTCCCTAAGTGTCTGTGTCCTCCCGTGTCTGTGACACGTGTCAGCTATTGTTCACTGGCACTTGGGGTTGCCGGGTTCCTTTCATGGGTGGGATAGGAGCCGGCACGTGACGGGCTCATTACTGTAGTTTGGATCCGCATGTGTCTGACCTCTTGCGAGATGGCCTTTCCGTGTGCTCTCTTGACGGCCGTGATTCTGGGCACAGGTCTGCCCCATTGTCCACCTGGATTTCTGTCTTCTTACGGGTTTAAAAGCGTCCTTACTCCTGGACACTAACCCCTTGTCATCTAAATACGTTGCAAACGCTTTCTCACAATCTCTGGCATTTCTTTTCACTTTCTTTCAGTAACAGAGGGTCTTAATTCTGACGCAGTCAAACGTATCAGCTTTTTAAATGCTCCTTTGTGTTCTGTGTCAGGTCTGAGCGTGTGGTTGTCCAGGTTCTCCTCTGTTGGCCACACCACCCACCCCGTGTGAGCATCTCACCAGCTGTCCCTGGAGTCAGGGAGGGAGGAGGTCTAGGCTCGTTTGTGCTGTCTCTTTCTTCCCGTGTGTTTTCGCTTGTCCAGGCCCATGGGGGGCCCGGGTGGGATCTTAACCTTCATACGGAGGCGTCGTTTTGGACGGGTCGGTCCCCTCCATTCTGTCTTCCTGTTTTGTCTGTTTCTTTAAAGACCTGGTGTTCAGAGCAGTTTCAGGTTCCCGGCAAGACTGAGAGGAGGCACGGAGATTTCCCACGGGGCCTTGCCCTCCAGCCCCGCCTCCTCCACTGTCAGCACATCACCCGCAGACGCGTCATCATCACCGAGGACCCACAGCAGACACGGGTTCTGTCCTGGGGGGGG